AGTGTGAGCCTGCCCAGAGCAAAAATCTATGTATTTGTGTAAAAAACGCATACTTCTAAGTGTGCACGACTGAAGTCCAATTCAATTTTACTTAAATCTATGTTTATGGGAATGACCCATTGTGTGACAGGTTCTTTGTGGTAGGATTTCAACACAGCTTTATGTGAAGTTAACGCAATATTTAAGACCCTGTTATGAGACTATTTCAGTCTATTTTTCCATACAGTACTTCTACTACAGAATATAAGTGGAAGGTGTTGTATTACAGAGGACACTGGCTGATACAGAGTAGGAGCTGCTGATATGGAGGACTCTACTATGAGTTGGGTCAGGAGGAAGCTGTCTCCTGATATGGCTGGAGGATGCTCGCTGGTAGGTACAGAGATCCATTATTTGCATTTTCACTACTAGAGTAGTACTACTAGTACTGCTGGTGGTGCTGCAAGAATATTAGGAGCACCCTCCTACTGTTTCTTCTTCTACTACTAAACCACTCTCTGGTGCTCATACAGCATGAGTAAAGTTTAAGGCCTGATAATTTTGTTGCATGTATTTTTGTCTGCATGAATCAAACTTCTGAAGCTCAGCAGGGAGCTTGCACGCACATCACATTTGGTACACCCCCCCTTTTCCATCATATCTAGTTGATGGCAGTCTTAGACTTATAAAGACACACATCATGTTTTGTGAATAAAACAAACTAATATTATACAAATTCTTCATCTAATTTAAAAAAGACTCTTCCTGACAAAAATGGTGATAACCAAAACCCATCCACTATTGATTCCTCTGTGTCAGGTTTGCCTGTTCTTCTTTTGTTTGTTACTACCTTGGGATTTAGAGGATTTGTTGTCGTGCACATACTTGAAAAAAGTTCAACATTTTCTGCAAATGCTAAGCCATCACCACATTGGTTTGATGATAGTAGCTGCATAGCTTTGCCAACATGCTCAAAGATTGATCCAATTCATTTCTTAGTATTAAAGTTTTCAGGGACCAAGAAAAACGTTTTTGGTTTCTCATTACCTCCTTCATTTTGTTGGAAATAGTTCTTGATGTCCTTATTGGCCTTCCCTAAGATCATACTTGGTTGCTCAATCATTTCAACAAAAACTACCATCATTGTTTTCATTTGAGGAGGTTTTCCATCTCTGATATACTCTAGAAATGTTGAGCACCAATAAGCAATACTGCAATTCATTAATGTTCTCTGCAAAAAATGTGAACCTTTCTGCTTGATGGACTACTTTTGACGTGGCTGCAAGTGACTGGCCAAGAGAAAACAGAACATATGTCTTCTATTTCTGATTTAAAATTTTTGTATTAGGAAGAGCTCTCTTGACAGAAGCAAATTCCCAGAGTCCAAAGTCAGGAACAATTCTATCTTCAATGTCTTTCTTCAATAGTGGCTGCTGTTCCAACCCTTGCCATTCAATGTAGCCTTTGTGACTGAGATATGAGATTGGATTGTTTTCAAGAAATAGTTCAAAGGCATCTTGGTCAGCCTTGGCTCTTTCATTACTAATAGATTGTATTGTTTTGTGAAGAAGACTAGTACTCAATCAACTTGAGAATTTATTATAGTGGTACTCAGAAAATTCTTGATGGAAAGAATAAACTTCTTTCCGCGGCATTGTGCTCCTTCTGTTCTCATCTTTTGAATCAATAGAAATAGTGTCTTCCATTAAGTCTTTGTACATTTTTTTTGCTTTGAGGAATCTGCTCATGGGATACTTGGCTCTTTGGAGGTTTTGTCAAAAAGATGCATTGATTCTCCTCCTTTGATAGCCTTCACAAAGTGGCAAGGTCTTGTCATGAGAACAAATTATCATTCCCTGACTCAGTTATGTGAAGATAACAAAATTTGTAGTTATTTTTTTGCAGTCCAGAAGCACAAAGCAGCTTTGACAGCTTTGATTTGAAAAGGGTTGTGAAGGCCTGATGTATTTTGTCAATATTGTTGCTGATCAATTACAACACACAAGAGGAGATCTACACAWCTTTATCATCTCATTCATTATAATTCACCTAAAACATCATTCTAAGTCATCAGTACACGTTATCTTGTGCATTGTTGCTTGCACTCCTCTTCCTGCACATAGCTTTCTTGAGTTTGCCTTASTCAAAAAAGATTTACAGTTGTGATGCACACTTCTTGTATTAAAGATCTAAATTCACGCAGCTGCTGTTGCAGTTGCTGTTGCTATCGAGAGTGAAAACAAGGCAATTGATATTAATGGAATAAGATTGAGGCAAAGAGAGARAAAATATCACACATTGGATTCCAAAGGGCCTGCTCATTGTCATGGACCTTGGTTTTTCTTTCAAAGATCTACAGTTAAAGATTGGAGATAAAGCAAGCTCATGGAAAATTTTCCCTTTACATGAAAGAAAAACTAAGGCTCATGGAAAATTTATGTAACTTGCACCAAAAAATTGGCTCACAGGAAATTAATGTGACTTGCATGTACTATTTAGATTAGGGTCATTTTGTGCTATATTTTGTGGGTTTTTCTTGGAATATTTTCTGGGTTATTCCTGGGTTAACACACAAACCCACAAACCAATGTTTCAAAATGTGGGTCATTTCTTGTGAAAAAAATCCAAGTTTAGAAAACATGGGTTATTTTTGGTGAGAAAATAACCCACAAATTTTGCCCAAAAATATTGGTGTAAAGGGGGAAKTTTTGGTTTCAGTACATCAGAATCTCCCATTAAGTCTAGAAGTTTTTTTTTGGGCACAAAAAAATTGTGCAGAGGCCAGAAGAAAGCTCAAAAACAGCACACTTGTTGCATGGGTTCTGGAGGGCCCAGTCATTGATCCACAACTTCCTGATCCCCTTGTTCCTCTTATAATAATGGATACACTGTGCATCAACTTTGTATGGGTTATGGAAATAAAGAGTCTTCCCTGACAAGGGTGTAACAGGTTGGATGAATGACTATGTTGATTAAAGATTTTTTTCATTTTTTTTACACATATGGTACTAATCAATAAGCCTAGTGGTGAAGAGGCTCTCTGGCAAAAAAAGTCAGCAATATGCACATGGATGTATGGTAAGAGGAATGAGAACCCTTTCCGCCTCACTGATTCTCAAACTATGATTGGTCCTTTCCTATTATTAACAAGCAAGCAAATCTTGCTGATGATTGCTAAAAACCACTTGCAACATTATGACTCATTACAACCAGCTAGAAAATCAACAAGATAGTACATAGAACTCCAATCTCGTACTCACCTTATCATAATACTACTTTTATTGGATAATTCCCGTTAACATATGAAATTTACAAGGGATTGTAATGTCTGGTCATTTTGAGGCCCAGCCAGAGGGCTCCAAAATATGTATTTAAATACATAATTTTTGTTTGCAGAGAGGAAGCTCCTAGTAGTAGTACTACTAACTCTAGTACAATTGAATATGTAATCCAATGTACTACATCACAAAAAGTGATCACAACCAGCAGTAGCGGCCCCCTGTTGCAACCATTTTAAAAAAATACGCACGTTATTTTTTTCTGGCATCAATTAAACCTCACGTATATCTCAGTTTTGGTCGCATTTTAACCTAAATGTAGTTGCAAGGGTTGTGTTGGGTTGTTATGGAAAGCCAGTGCAACTTTTGTCCCACAGGAAGAAGCAACCACCAGTCCTGCCACTGGCCGTACCACTGTTATCAATCACATAATTGATCACCATTAAAAAATCATTGAAGTGCAGTCCTTTGCTTAATACAATTTTATGTCCTCGACCACCACAACCTTGCCATCTGCTTCTCTCTACTGCAGTATAACTGTTGAGTGGGTATAGGAGCCCAGAATTTTCACTATCCAGTTATAGGTGCCCAAATTTTCACTGCACAGATATAGGTGCTAGAATTTTCACTGCACAGATATAGGCGCTCCAAAAACCAGCAACGCGATTGGTAGGCAGGGCGGGTGTTTCAAATTTTGAAAGATTGTTCAATATTCAAATGAAGGTTCACTGACATACTAATAAGCAATCAGTCTTAAATAGAAAGAATCATCTTTTTGATCACGTTTGTACACATATCTCATGACCTTAAAATAGTAAATGAAATGTCACTACTACTAATCTATCAATTCGGACGACAAAAAATCTTCAGACCATTCCACATTTTTTGGCCCTGGTCCCTCCAGTCTCTCTGGCATAACTTCTCTACCATAACTCAGACAATGACAAATCCAGTACATGGGAATGTTATTTTGATAGTGCACTTTTAATTCGTGTACTTGGATCAGGCAGGAAATTCCTCCTTAGTGTTTTTTGGAGAACAGAAAAAATTTGAACCAACCATGGGCTTGYGAGAACTTTTCATTACTAAAAATGTTACTTGTGGGGTATGGTAGTAGTGATGAAAAGCATGTCAATTTTGACACAAAGAAAGAGAGGAAAGCAACCAACAGTGGCAGGGAAGAAACAAACACATTCCATGCAAAAGAAAGCTTCAGCACCAATTACAGATAACGATAATGCAAATGACAGGAATAGAAGTAGTCAGGCGCTGGGCACAGGAGTTGTTAGAGTTAGTACTGCTGTGCATTTCTGGGGTCAGTTTTGATTGATTGGAATAATAGCGCTGAAGGAAAAAATTTAAACCTGTCTTACAGGGCATATGGAAATGTAGACAATGCAGAGTTTTACTATATTTYAACACAAATGTTGGTCTCTGTAAATCCACTATTTTTTTACATGAATGTTGGCCTCTGTAAATCCGGGACAGACTGGTTTCAAAAGCCATAAGRGCAAACTGAAGATAAGCAAAATTTTCACTGTTTCCGATGGTGAGGCTTTTGCAATTGTAATCCTCCACAATGAATATGATATGTGGATAAAGTTTGAGCATTCCTGAGGCATTGAAACTACTGGGCCGCTCTCTGATGATATTAACAACTGCAATAAAATGGAAGAGGTTTGATTATGCCGGCGATAAACAATTTAGATAGATACAATATGCATGCTATTACGTATTTTCTAAAACACAGTTCTAATAATTTGTGCTTCCTTTTTCAAATTAAATATGAATCACTTGGTTCAAAACGAGAAACAGAGGTTGCAACTCCATAACAGATGTAAGTTGGTGGGAGCCCTTATGGCAGGGTTTCATACTGGAAAAAATATTAATTCAAGCAAAGAGTAGATTCAGAGAGGTTGGGKGTTGTGACATGCAGACAAGAAAATAGATTGTGTGCCGTTTTGTGAGGAATATACTTTGTTGCTTGCATGAAGCAAGCTCAACGTGTACTTTGACCATAAAAATTGGGCTGCGTTGGGGCATGTAATTGGGTTGCAATAGGGGGTTTGCTACAGGTTGCAATTGCTTTTTTCAACATATTGTATAGGTTGGTTTTGATCTGGATTAGTTTTAACAAGATGCCAATTAACTCTCAACCATGGTGGGATCCAATCAAATCTAATGAAGTACCATACTAGTGTACTATCAATGGGAATAYAGATTGATACAAACTACTCATGTACTTGGGTGACAACAAATGGTTATGACAATTCAATTGAACCAATTAACTCAAAGAATTGATTGAACTGCCTAGTACTGCTGGATGAATAGAATTACTACTCTAGATGATGGGATTTGCACCACTTAACARTCAACTCTATACCATAGGATTCAGTTGGAAAAGATGGTGTTGGCATCTGGAGCCATTCTGATCATGTTTGCCTATCCAAAGTTTCCAATTGTCCTCTTTGTGTGCGCCTCTCTTGTTTCTTTGAAGCAACTGAAGTCAATTTCCCTGATGAGTCAAAAGTGTTGAAGATCTGGTTGGTATGGACTGTRCTGCTGCACTGGTAGTAGTTATAAAAAAGCAAGAGGATGTTCAGTATGATCTTCCTCTCTCCAAATTCCTCYRATGTGAYGAGCTTATCTTTCATTTGAGGGAATTGCCATTGGTAGATCATACAAAATCCATATTCCAATAAATTCCAAATAGCAGTTGYTTGTCTAATGACTACTATGGCCTGAGTGTTCTCTTCCATAGTACAGTATAAAATGTATCAGGGTTATTCTGCTGCTGGCTACAAATGAGGTATTGGGCTCCTCCTCCCTTCACCTTAGGAAATGCAGAGCTACTAATGACTAGTACTACTACTCTGGCCCCAGATCTATCATATATGTTATCCATCTTCTCATATTGGCAAGAATCTGCAATGGGACTGATGTGCTAAGTTCCAGTGCAGTTGTTTGTGTTCATCCAAAGAAGCATATTTCTGCCACTCATGGTTGTACTACTACTAGTAGTAGAACTAGTACTACTAGTACTAGTACTGATTTTGAATGACCCAGTTCTTTCCTGTTGGCTGCTGCAGCTTACTAACTTTTAGTCCATCAACTGTGACCCAAACCTGTTTTGCTCCAAGTACCTGGGCCCTCCTTTAGTTTTGAGGAAGACAGTTGCCAACCAAGATCAGGGTTTCCCATAGGTTCTATTTTCCATGTTTAAACAAAGAGAGAATGATTGCCCACCAGGCAATGATATTCTCTGTGTTTCTCTTTGTAAAAATCAGCAAATTGGTCAAAGAGAAACAAGGAGAAGCAATATTCTCTTTGTTTCTCTTTGTATGAACTGCAATTGTCCCCAGCATTTCTCACCATGTAGTAGAAATACAGAGAATAGCTAGTAGTGCCMACCAGATTACTAGTACTAGTAGTAGTATATTCACTCTGCTGCTTGAAATAACAACAAAGAGAAACAATGAGAACATTGCCCAGGCAATCTGCTCTGTGTTTTTCCTTGTTTAAAATACTAGTACTAGTACTAGTAGTAGTACCATTAGCAGTAAGATATTTGAGTGTTGGGCATTCTTGATTCATCCTGTTACAATAGTACTACTAGTACTAATAGTCTAGGAGTGACTGCTGTCTAAGAGAACATTGGTTGATTCGATCAATTTTTTGTACTGGAGTACATCGGTGGGGATTTTGCTTTCTCTTCACTCTGTTCAATTTGTTCAATATCTGGAACACAACGCAACCCAGATTCACAACAAACACATCCATCCACCATCCACTCCATTGTCCCCTAGCCAGACGCATCTTGCGCGACCTTTGCTCCACAATAACGATGGCGAATTCCCGCGAGACGGCTCCCGGGCGCCACGGATACCACCGGGTGGTGGTCGAAACCGTCAGCAGCAGCAGCGACGACGAACACGAACACGAACACGAACACGAACACGAACACGAACACGAACGCAACAACGACAACGACAACGGCAACGACCGCGGCGACGGCCCCGTCGTCCACATGTTCCCGGGGGTCTGGAGGGAACGAACCAGCGGCAGCGGCAGGGACAGGGGCAGCGAAGCAAACGGCCAGCGCAACCGCGGAAGGGGGGGACCGACACCGGGTGCCGGTGCAGGCGCTGGAGGCGCAAGCGCAAGCGATCGAAGCAGCGGCCGGGCCTGTTGCGTGGTGTCCTGACGCGACGCGACGCGACCGAGCCCTTTTGCTGTTGAATCCCCTTTTCCCCGTTCTCTTTTCCCCCGCGAGACAACAACCACACCACGCGCGCTTTCTTCCATCCCCTCCCGCCCTTTTCACCGGTGGCGTTGCGTTGCGTGGCGCGTTTGGAACCGAACCGAATCCAATCCAATCCAATCCAATCCAATCCAATCCAATCCAATCCAATCGAACCGGTTTCTCTCAAACGCACGGCCCCCAAGACGATGCCGTGCGATCGATCCGACCTTCTGTCTTTGCGGCACAAGGCACACACACCAAAGCCTTGCTGGGACACCCACGGAACATTGGACGGACGGAGCAGATACCAAGTACCCGAGTACTACTAATGCTATACAGGGGTACRATGCTACCGTGAAACAACACACATCTTTTGTAGTATACTTTCATTCAAAACATTTATGTTGACATCTATAGTTACAGACCCGTACTAATTGCCACTCGCAGGGTTCCTGCAGGGTTCCTGACGCCGGGGCAACTCGCGGGCATTTTCCCAAAACCATAAAAAGACCACGATCCAAGACCCAGTCGTCACTCGTTCGATTGGTGCTGCGCAAAGGGCCGAGGAGGACGGGACGGCGTCGCCGGACGCGCCATGGGACGCGCCAGGGTAAGGTTTTCGACCCGCTCCAGTCCGTACACAAGAGCCAGATCGGACGAGAAAGCTTTTCGAGGGGGACTGGTCCATGAATTCGACGGCGACTCGACTTCCTTGCGGGAGGCTTTGCTGTACATTTCATTCGTGGCATCGTCCTCCGTGAATGCGTCGGCCTCTTTTCTTTCTTCCTCTCTCCACATCTTCATGAGCGTGGATGCCATAGGATTTACACAATCGCTACACCGAGACGCAGTATRGGGATTGGCATCCCGGCTCTCCGGGGAAGAGATCGGGTAGTCGCCGCTTTCTGCTCTGCCCCCACAATTCAGTGCGTCCCAGATGGATTGGAGTGAGCCTTTYGACGACGGCGTGTCGCTTGCTGTTGTTTCGTGATCGTTTTGGCAAGATGCCKCGGCGGGGAGGGATGGCAAAGGCAACTCTGAAGCGAGCAGCATCGGGTTGYTTTGTGTCCYACTTGTGATTGCCTTTTCGGCAGCCGAGACGGCTTTGATTGCGTCCGCCAAGGATTTGCGACGGGCACGGGTCTTGCTGCGGGTGGACTGAAATACCCCACTCTCCTCGTCASTAATACTAMTGGACTCTACGGRYGGGACAATAGTATCGGCACAAGATTCCTTCTTAGCCGTATCTTCGGCGGCATGGGCTTCCCAAACAGCAGAGTCTTCCTGGGGATCCGCTCGTTGATTCTYCTCTAATGGCAATTCGTCARTAGTCCCTGCATCARTGGCGAGTTTGAAAGGATCGGCTACGACGTTGTTTGAAGATGAAGGAAGTACGTCAGAAGTAGCTTGTGCATTGCTTCCTTTTTGGTCATCACAACCGTCGAGATCATGAGAATCATTGCTACCCCTATTATCGTCAAATGCAACTGTTTCTTCCACGTCMGGTCTGGCCATGACGGAGGTAGTCTGTTTTGATTTTTCGTGCGCGTGGCGGTAGGATTCTATGTCTTGTTGCAGTCTGCTCACGGTGGAAGGAGACAGCAAGCTGCGRTTGTCATTGCTAGGATACTCTTTTGTTCCCACCTTAGCTTCATCATTTCTATTTGTTCTCGGTCGCAGGGCAAGTCGATGGTTGCGGCATCGCTTCGCTCCCGAGTCCAGTAAACGTAGACCGATTTTCCCTGTAGTTTTAGGTGATTTTAGGCTTGCGCCGGCTGCAGGAGAGTGAACAGAAGATTCAGATTGGTCTAATTCCCGCTCGTGTGTGCGCTGGCGATACTTCCGCAAGAGGCGACTCGTACCGGGGGGCGACCATAAAATGTGSCGCTTCGGTGTCGTTGAAGGAGCCGCAGGGGATACGTTTTCGGAGGGAGTTGTCTGCAGAGAAAGGGCATTTGTATCCTCTGTATACATCGTCGGGAGCGTCGAATTCAAGTCGTGTTGTGGTTTGCTTTGCTCGCCGCTTTCCTTTCTGTTGTGAGCCTTCCCGATTTTCCAAAAAGGTGRTGAGCGCAGTCGAAGGCCTCCGGGAATAGGCGACGCAAACGATAGGACACGTGTCTTTGAAGATGACAACAGGGACTGCTTGGAGCGATATTCCTTCAGAACGGTGTTGCTCGTATCCGATGATGGGGAAGTATACGACGGACTAGTCTTGATTACGATGCCATCATCAGCTGAAGACCACGTATGAACTTCCTGGGATGATTGGAATACGCGTGCCGTGCACGGCGGTGTCGTTTTCAACGAAGCTGTTGCAAAGTGGAAGCTTGCGAGATCACGAGACGCGTTTTCACAGTTATCGCGATCAGTCCCGCTGTTGCCGTATCCGTCATGCGCAAATTTTGGCTTGCTAGCCGATCTCGTGAACAGTCGCCTTCGCTGGGATTGTMCCAGTATTCCTCCTTCGTTTCCTCTTGGGTGACTAGAAGGGTTTTCCTTTTCGTCCGAACAAGAATCCYGCGGTTGGCCTTCTGTTCGAACTATTCGTGTCTGACGAAGGCGAGCCGGAGTGTAGAATTCCAAGAAGTGCCGTTCGTTGCGGTCGGCCATCGTAATGATTGTGTGTGAAGAYCGAAAGTGAACGAAGAATCAATCGAAGCRAAATATATCGAATCAACCGATAGCCCGATCGAAATTCTTGGATGGTCAACGAAGTATCGAATTYGACTCAGTGTCAGACCAGCGAATTGGCCATGCGCTTCAATTCGGTGAGAATGGGACAGGATTCGAGACCGAGACTCCCACCGATCGGCGAAGATTCCAGCGGGAAACTCAGGACSGACTGTTTGTATTGAGGGTCAAGCCAAATCGATGTGAATGCGAACTACAATCGAGACGGGAAGTCTGCCTGCTTACCCTTTCAAAAACTGTTGGACGTCTGGGAATTTCTTAGATTATGCAACACGCTCAAATGAAAATGCTTCGATGTCATTACCGGGCTGATACTCTTGGTGCTGATCGCAATAGTTAGCCGGAGAGGAGACGGGATCGCAAACCGGACCGTTTTGTTATTCAAAGACGGGTACGAATTGAAACTGTTTTTCTGTCATCTACCGGTCGTACGAGTACGAGTACTGTACGGTACGTACGCAAACTTGACCCGTTCCTCTTTAGTAAGTAGCCGTACGAGTACTCGTTAGTTTGTACACGTAACGTATGATACTCCCCCATCGAATGATTGCGCATTGATTGTAACGTAAGTTCGTGCTTCTACTTTACGTAGAGTGTTACAACGACAAAAATACAGTGGAACGCCAGGTTSTAGTGCCCTGTAGAAGTGTAATTCCTGACGGGCATAGTTGCTATCAAACTCATTATTAGTCGATGAAGCTGTCTTTGTATGTGGAAAATAAGATTAAGCAGTTTCAAAATTGATCGCGACCGTTACAAATGTACTAAGCCTTAAMGATGCTTTTTCAGTGGATCAGTCGAAGGAGTCAGAACAACAATGGTGTTTTTATATTGAGTCGAATGAGTCGTTTTTCGAAAACGAGTCGTGTGAGTTGTAATTATCGGAGATCACATAAATGATCGTGGTTTCAGATGTCGTTGATCCTTRACCACTCAGTTTCAAGCGAAGACCCCATCGTAAACGACTCCCCAAATGTTCTAAAGTTATTTAAGTATCTCTAGCTTATACTTAAGGTTCTTAAAAAGTATTTCTTTAACCATACTGTGAATCTTCACGAAACAAAGAAACTACCAATTCCGTTCAAGTTTTCTTTCTTTCAGTATTTTCTCTCATCCTACCGTAGCAAATAGCAGAGGATTCATGAGTTCAAGGTCTATGAGTCAGCAATTCKAGCCAAACAGTATGAGATGCTTACTTAACGATCTCCCATTCTTGATGTTTCAGTGCCTTAGGTAAACTACACAAATACCAGATCTCTTGTCATTCGAGTCATTTTCCTACTTATTAAAAAAAGGTTCGTGCATCAATGCATATCGGAAACGCTAATGAAATTGTTCCAATAGCGCTCGAAGAACAGAAATGAAGAACAATSATTTCTGTGTAGACAGGATTCTACTCACACAATGGTCGCTTCATCARTGAGGCTATATTACAAAATGAATCCAATGTACATTTATTTTGGTTCTCCTCGTTTGAAACGGTATAAGGTCGTACTAGTAGTCATTTTCATTTTTCTGAACCATTGACAATTAATGGTAGTTCTCCACAAATATCGCATGTCAGTATTGAATACATYAGAATCGGCGTCCACCATCATCCTCTTGCCGTCGCGTTAGACATTTCAATTGGCGTGTACAAAAAGTTCCAGTCTCGGAAAGAGTAACTAACASAAACTTGCAATGAAGACCAAAATTCAATCACTCGGTGGCAATCAAAATTTTAGTCTGCGCATATTCACACTGAGGAGKAGAAGGACGTCGAAAACTCTCATCGAAATGAAGCTGATGAACCGAAAAGTCCGCTTCAACCCGTTCCGGCGAAGGCACAGCAAACACGTTGATGTGGCACCATCACTTCCAGAACGCGATGACACCGACACCGAAAAGAGTGTTAGCATTGACGATAAAGAATACGGCGAGTGCAAAAGGCGSCAACTCTCCCCACTTTCTTCCATAATGGCAAAGTTCATCGTCGAGAGTGCCGAAAAGACCTACAACAGCATCGAGTCTGACCTGGAACGGTCSGAATTTGCCGATAGCATCGAGTTTGTCTTGAATTCTGTCAGGAATGGTAAGGACGTCCCCCAACAGCGCAACTCGGTGGTCGAACTTCTGGCGAAAACAACACGGGCCACAATGGAGTCCATCGACAACGAAGAAGAACAAGACGTGTTTCTGCGAGGCATTTCTGATAGGTGGAACTCCAGTGCAACGAGATGATGATACTCATTCGATCCCACCGCGCACCCATCTCCGACCTAAAGGGAAGTTATCATTGCACTTTATTGGAATAATCATTCGATTTAGGGAAAAGTAGAAGAAATCACATGTAAAATAAGTATCTAACAAATACTCTAAAAAAAGCTAATGCAAATTTTATTACTACTGCATTGCTGTTTGCTTCAAAATCAAGTAAGGYTTGACAATGAACATGTGTACAGATATTGGTTCTTGGCATGACCATCTGTGTATGGGCCAACTCTCCCAATAATGATGGATCTCCAATCCAAATGGCACAAAAAGCCTCCATTGCAAGACACTTTATTGTTCCCCCATGATAGTAGTATCAGAAGCACTACTAATACTACTACTAGTACTACTTCCAGCWGATCACTCCAAACCACTTTSTCCCAATACTTGACCCAATATCGCTCAGCCCACCCCAGAATACCACTCTACTAGAAAAGGTAGTTCAGTAGTACGACTTCTCCTCATCTGCAATGCACCAGCACAGCAGCACCAGTACTACTAGTCTAGTACTACTACTAGTACTAGTCACGGGTGCACAAGGGAGGACAAGATTGATTATGGTGGTTGAACTTCTTCTTGTTGTACTACTTCTAGTAGTACTACTACTATTAATAGTAGTACTATTACTACTAGTATTAATATCAATACTAGTAGTACTAATATAACAAGTAGTAGTACTA